TATCTTTTCTTCCCATTTGAAGGATAATCTTGAGGAATACAGTGTTTGTTTTATCTTTTAGCATTTCACTGCATTTTTCCCATTCTTTCCTTTCTTTTATTATTCCTGTTGAAAGGTCTTATGTTAGCCTAATGGAGTAAGTTTGATAAGTAATGTGATATTTCTTTTTTTCTATGATTTTGACTAATCTGACTGTGGAGAGGATCTTACTAGGTTTTTTCTCTTTGAGGTTTTTTTTTATTTCTTGAGTCTGGATGTTTGAACATTTCTCTTCATTTGAAAAGTTTTCTGCAAATGTTTATTTTTATTTATTCTATTTTAATTTACTTTATACATTCAATTAGTATGCTTCACTTTGCTTGTAAAATGAATTTACCCAACATGAATACACTTTCACATCAGACTGGTTCAGTATACTATACACGTTATCATGAACAGATAATAATTACTGTGTCCCAGGACCAGCAGCTGGCGTAATGGCTATGTTGCTAGATTCCCCTGTAGTCAACCACGGTTCGAGTTCTGGGCCTGGTGGCTTAAACTCACACTGGGCTCGTGTGCGTGCGTGCCCAGAATCCTGAGAGGAAAATGGAGGAGAGGGGATTGTGGTGTGGTCATCCTCCCTAAGGAGTGACTTCTCGCTTTCTGTCTCTCTCTCTCTGTCTTTCTGACAAGTGCATGCGCCCTTTAGCAAAAACCTCTCCAAAAAAAACCAAAAAAATCACTGTGTCCCATAAATGTCTTGCCTCTTTATTTTTCTCTTTCTTATCTTCCTCATATACTCTTCCTTCTCCCACCCTCTTTCCACACTATCTTCAGTATTGCTAACCATTTTCTATGCTTCTATACTTCTAGTCTTTCCGTTTCTGCCATAGAATGCAGGCAGTTGGTTTATGTTAAATGGAGACATATAGTGTTTCTCTTTCTGCAAATATTTCATGGAATAGATCTTTGATGTCCTTATTAGTTTCTTTGCCTTTGGAATACCAATTATTGGATGTTTGGGCTTTTACTACTACCTAGTAGTTCCTACGTTGTCCTCATTTTGGGGATTGTTTTTCATTATTTTTGGTGCTTTTGTCTAAGTCAGAGACTGTGGTTTTCAGATTAGAATTTGTATCTTCTGTGTGTGCTTATTCTAATCTGTTAATACTTTCAAGGGAGACACAGTTTTTGATGTCTTACAGTACAATCTTTAATCTCTAGAGCTCTGTATGATTCTTTTTTTATGGAGTTGATCTTCTTATGGAGTTCCTCTTTTAAGTTGTGGAATGATTTTTCTCCTCTTCTGGAATCGAGTGTTTTCTCTTGCATCTCAAAGAATTTAGTTATAATTTGTGTTAAATTTCTACTAGTGTGGTGATTTCTTCTGATTTTTTTCATTGCTGGAGATGAATTCTTTTGTTCTCATGGTGGAGATGTATTTCCAGGATTTCTCATATTTCTTGAGATTCTTCTATGCGTTTTAGTCATATGGTAATGTACTCACTTCCTGCTTCTGCATCAGAGTAGATTCTGTTGGTTTATGTACTGGTAATTTTCTTTTATTTTTTTTAGAATTATTTTTTTATTTAATTTTATTTATTCATTCATTTATTTTAATTTGACCAGAATCAGAGAGAAAGTGAGAAAGCAAGCTGCCAGGTTCGGGACTCAAACCGTGGTCAGCCATGTAGGAGTGTCCAGCGCCTTAGCCACCATGCCACCTACTGGTCCCAAGCCCTGTACTGGTAATTTTCTTGATCTTAATTAGCTATATGCCAGCTTTCCTCTTCTACTGTAAAAATGTTGTCCTTTGGTTTCAAAAATAATAGATAAGGTTTTCTTCTCCCTTTGGCAGATGTGAGTGTGGAGGAGAACTTTCCACAGCTTCACACTGTTTAGGTGTTTGGTTCCTATATACCTAGACCTGTCAGGTTGTGTGTGGCAGGGGACTGGCTGAGAGATGAGAATTTAGGCGCAAAATCCAAAATTTTGCACCACCTGTAAAAGCAACCCTGACTCTATCCCCAACTGGGCTGGTATCTTGAGTGGGAAGTGGCTACTTGTCTCTGCTCTAGTTGGAAAATAGAGTATGCTGGGATTTGCACAAGAAAGACAGTTTTACTCACCGTTTTCACTATGAATACAGGAATGAGGGGGCTGGTCTCAGGGGGCTGCAGGAGTGAGTAGGCTGGTTTAAAAGAGCAAAAGGCAGCCCTGACACCACCATCTAACTGGGTTGGGGTCTTGAATGGGAGGGCGGTGCTTGTCTGTGCTGTTATTTGAGAAACAGCCATATGATAACTTTCTAACATCCTAGTACATGTGATTGTTTTTAGTTTGGTTCTATTTTTAACTTAGATATTCATTTATTCTTTGTGAGTGGATTCACACCCCAACAGGGTCTTCATGTTGCCTTACACATTATCTGGCCCAGATCACAGGCATGTGGTATGTACAGGGAGATCTTAGGATGTGATAGCAGGATCCAAATTCAGAATCTTCTCATGTGACCAGCATCATGAAATACTGTGTTAGCTACTATGCTACCATGGCTGGCTGTGGTTGTTTTTGAGTGTCTTAGTTTTAAATGTCTGCCTCTTAAATGAGAAAAAAGGTAAAAGTAAAGGAAAAATAAGAAGACTATTTATTTAATAATAAGCATTGAGAAAACAGATTCTAGATGTTTAGAGAAGAGTCTTGGCTACTATTACCTGTTCCAGGAATGTTTGTATGATTGCCTGCCAGTGAACCTTGGGTTGCTTTATAGTTAGTACTACAGCACTGTTGACTTAAAATGTACTGAAATTAACCACAATATTCTAGTTGAATCTTTTCTTGGTAAATTCAAGCATTTGAAAGTAGTCTTCACGGTTCCAGTATAATTACTTTGCACATCTTTCTGTCAATGTAGTTATAGTCTAGTAGAAAAAATTATCTTTACATATATATTTTTTTAACTGTGTTTTTTTTTTATAATGTCACTTTGACCTTTCTTACTGCCTTTCATTGTATCACATTGGCCATTCAGTCTGGTTACTTGTTGTACCATAGGACCTCCAAAATTCAATATTGACATTCCATTCAGATCACAAGCCATCAATAGTTTGATGTACTTGCTGTAGGATTCATTTTTCTATGGTTTAGTCACCAGTACTTAGACTCTGTTTTCTCCCTAACCACCACCTCCATTTGTCTTTTTGGAACTAGTCACTTTCATCTTTGTTCATCCACCCTGCTTTATGGTTCTTTTAAGTGTCCACAAATACAGACAGGCAGGCAAAAATGAAACCAGACCATCAGTACTGTGTGGTCACCTTAATTTCTCCATTATAGTTATATAAACTATAGCACTGGATTGTTAGGAAAGTCAGAACACATTTTTGCATAGAATAACAGAACAATACTTTATAACCTTTCTGATAACCCAATGAAAAATTTTTCACCGAGATACTTTTTCCATTAACATAAGCCGTCAACTTCTCTCTTCCTTTCTACTTTTCATCACGTGACTGTGCCTCATATTTCTTAGAGGAAAGAAACCATAAGCTTGTCAACAGCTTATCAAATGTACAAATTGATTGAATTTGTGCCCATCTTCTGGGACTTTTGTCCATTTTATCTTTTTTCAGTTATTGCCTTAGGGCACATGCCCTCTGGAAAGAGGAGGTGAGAATTCACCCTCCAGAGTGAATAACCATCCCATAGTTTTTTCTCCTATATTCTCCTCTTACCAGTTTTTTTTTTTCTTAAGAATAAAACAAAAAATACTGATACAGCATAGTAGTTAAGATGCTGGACTTCCATGTGGATGACTGTGTTTCAAGTCCTAACCTGGTTGCTTGGAAATCACATTCAGGTAGCTGTGCACACATGCTCAGAATCCCGAAAGATTGGAGGAAAGAGAATATGGTGTAGTGTCCCATCAGGAAAGTGGTTTCTCAGTTTTTCTCCCAGTGTTTATCTCTGGCAAGTATACATATCCTATAGAAAAAAACTTACGAAAAGAATATTGGTAAAATTTTCAGTATTTAGTAAGGAACAGGCTGCAATAGGAAATCACTTATGACCTGGAACACCAGAAATTTGCTGTCATAAGAGAGTACAGTTAACACAGGCATAATGCTGTTTTTAATTTATGTTCTACTATATGAAATATTTTGGAATATAAAAGGGATGGAGCTAATAGATCAATTATGAAGTAACTAGAGCCACACAGCTCATAGCTCCTCTATAGGAAAGTAACGTTATTTTACAAAAAACTAAATTGCTTTTTCCTGCAGGAATTTCCTTAAGGATGTTTTTAGTAGCTGTGAGCATATTGCCAGTAAGGATGCTTGATAAATTTCTTGATGTGTTCCTTTGCTTTTGGAATGTTTAACTAATGAAAATTTAATTCTCACCAGAAAATTTTGAATTCCTAAAGCAGCTATTACCTAGTGTCAGCTTTATTCAAAACTGCCATTTTATTTGTTGGTGAAAAATAGATTAATTTCGTCTAAGTTTAAAATTCACCTCACTCAAAGAATGCTGAATGTTGCTTACTATGTTCTAATTTGGTGACTCTTTTTTTTTCATCATGAATACACTGTATATTGGCTCAAAGATATTACCATCCACATTATCATCAACTGATAATTTTCTATGTTTGTCCCAAAAAATTTTTGCTTCTTTTTCCTCTTGATTTACTCCTTCTCCTCTTCCCCCATTTCCCACCCTGTTTGAGTACTGTCTCTAATATATTTTTCTTTTAAGTAGCTTATGTTTATCTTCATAAGAAAAAGTAAAATTAGATGACATTCGTAGCTCAGATGTTTCTGATTCAAAGATTAGGGTCTCTTTGTTGTTTTCCTAAATAAGAACATAGATTTGTTTTTGTTTCTACACTAAATTATTTGCATATTTTTACAATTAGAACTGGAAAAAAGAGTGGTGAAACTGTCAACTGCAAATTTTCCAACTGTAACTCAAACATTTTTATTGTTATTTCCTAAATATAAAGTGTTCATCTATTTTAGCTGGAAGAGAACAGAAACATTCATAAACAAATGAAGATTTTGCAAAAGAAGCAAGCCCAGGTTGTAAAAGAGAAAGTGTATTTGCAGAGTGAACAAAGCAAGGCTCTTTTGGCAAGAAGCAAACTGGAATCTCTTTGCAGGGAACTTCAGCGGCAAAGTAAAATGTTAAAGGTTAGTTTGTTCTTTTTTTGTTCTTCAGGAAGTATATTTAGTTGCTTTTATAATCACTTTCTATTTACTTAAAATAAATTCTTGACTCCAGTGGCTTTAGTGGGAATTAGTGACTGTTGGTTGATAATTCCTAGGCACACACATACTGGTAGATCATGTTGCTAACTAAGCAGGGGACTTTGTGGGATTTCTGGAGATACAGGATACTGTCCCACTTTTAATTTGTTTGAATCAATGCTGTGTGTGAGGGCATATTAAATTTAAACCTCATCCTGTGTTTTCTGTTTTCACATTTAAGGATGAGCTCTTTATATGTTATACTTGATTACAGAGAGTCTAGACCTTAAAAGTTATCCACATAGCTAGCAGATTTCTGTACTGGCTGTTGATGTAGTTGAGTATCATGTGTTCCTTGAATAAGCAATGAAAAGCTTAACTGAAATACAGAAAGTAGTGACAATAAACTTGAGTTATATGGAGTTTGAAAGGCAAAACAGGTTGCCAAGCTTTACTATGAATGTTAATTGGCTAAACTGTAAAAATTACTTTATACCCATCCTGGGCTCTTCATTCATTATATACTTTAGTAATAGTACTTAAAGATAGGTTGCTAGATACTGATAGGAAGAGGGAGTTTGCAAGTATGAATTTGATTGTGTGGAATCTCTGGTTATCCTCAAAGAGTAACAAACTCTCAAGGATCTAAAAATAGGGTTGTTTCTTTTTTTGTTTCTTTCTCTTTTTTTTTTGAAAGTTTTCTTTAGATACACAATAGTCAGTTCTCCTTTGTAGGTTTGCTCTTAACAGTTTCCATTTAGTTGCACATCCTTCTGAGTAGCATGATGAAAATTGTGCCACCCCACCCAGGATGTAAATCTTCCCTTTGTCTAGTGTATCTGCCCATTAACCAATTAATAATCTTACAGATGATCAGATCAACTGTTGTAGTATTGTCATGCTTATGCTCAATATTCATATATAGCAAAGAAAAGCTATAAAATGCTTTTATTTCCTTTTCTTTTTTTTTTGTTAGTGAAGTAGTGGAAAATCTCAAATTAGAGAAAGAGAAAAAAAAACATGATATGCTGAGATACTGAGATTGCTTAGATATATGCTAAGAATGAATCTTTTATTTGTGAAATTATGAAAATAATTTATATTAGTTTTGCTGTTATAACTGTGGAACCTGTGAATGATCATAGTATGAATAATAAATTACTGTGTGTGTATTTACAAAGTTTCGTATTATCTGTGGTTTTAGGAATTCATTTGGAGGCTTCAAATGTATCTTGGATAGATGAAGAGGAGCAGCTTAGTAAAGTAGATGGTATTGAGAAGAAGCCATGGGCCTTCAGGAGAAGGTTCCACATGGCTACAATGAACTAGATTTTTAAGGGAATGAAGGTTTTCTACTAATAATTCAGCCTCCAACAAACGAGCTAGCGGTAGGGAGCCCCACCCCCTGCACTCCCAGCCTTCCTTCTCTGTCTCTCGGTTCCTGTCTCTCCCTGCTTCTGTCTTCCCTTTTTTTTTGTAATTTTTCCCTTTTTACCCTTTTTTTTTTTAAAAAGGCACAGTTTTTCTCTGGCTCTTAGCTCCACCTTTTTTCTTGTTAATTTTCACTCTGCTCCTCCCATCCAGGCAGAAGAAGCCACAGGCCTTCAGGACAAGGTTCCACATGGCTAGAGTGAACTAGATTTTTCACGCCGCGTGGTTTTCTATCTTGTGATTTTATTTTTTTAAGAAAAAGAACAGTAATTACAAATTTTTAATTTTTTTAATTTTTTTGTCTTTTTTCTCTTTTTGTTGTTGTTTTTCTCTGTTTGTTTTCCTTTTTCTTGTCTCTCCACCCTCCAATATCCTTTCAATGTGTTTTTAGACAGATCTAAGAGCACTGTAGTTAAACATCCATACTAATAGGGTTAAAATATTCCCCACTATCTACTGAATCTGCTGCATCAGCGATCACAACAGAACGGCAAAGAGATTCTAGATCACCTCTGTCTGCTTGCTCCTGAACATTAAGGCTGAACTTTAAAAATTTGAAAGAAACACACCATCCATCAGATGACAAGAAATCACCGCCGGAATGCAAATAAATAAATTGAAATTTAAAAAAAGTAGATGGTACTGTTTTTCATAGCAGAGTCAACCTTTTAACTAGATGGATAACTTCAGGTAACATTTATATCCTATTTAGAATTTGAATGTAAGTTTTTTTTGTTGTTTTTTTGTTTTGGGGTTTTGTTTGTTTGCTTTCTTTTAACCATGAAATCAAATTTCCCCGAAAGGGGAATTTTATTGATTACTTTATTCCCTTACAAACAGACCAACTGTAATCAAATGAGGTGAACATTCACCTCAGGATTTTGCTATCTTTGTAATAGAAAAGATGAGGCTTAGAACTGGATCACTTGACCCTTTGTCTTTTTATCTCCTCCCAGTTCAAAATGCTTACATCTCTTGATAGCCAGCATTCTCTTAGATCTGCAGTTGGGCTCAACACATTCCAGCCTCAACACAGTCTTCTTTGTAGTTTTTGCCTTTTTCCGGAAAATAGGCTTAGTCTGTCCACCATAGCCACTCTGCTTCCTGTTATAACATCGCTTTCCCCTGAGCATACAGAGAATCCTTGCCCTTTTTGTACTGTGTCACTTTATGAGGTTGGTGTTTGCCACACTTCTTACAGAAGGTCCGGCGGGTTTTAGGGACGTTCACCATGCTTGCAGCGTTTTTTGGGTTTTTTTGAAAGAGGTTTTTGCTATAGAGCGTGTGTGCTCACCAAAAAGAGATAGACAGAGAGAAGGAAAGTGAGAAATCATTCCCCAGGGGGATGGCTATGCCACAGTCCCTTCTCCTCCATTCTCCTCTCAGGATTTTGGACACATATGCACACACACCCAGCATGAGTTTAAGACACTAAGTCTGGGACTCAAACCGTGGTCAACTACATGAGAGTCCAGTGACATAGCCATTTCGCCAACTGCTGATCCCTGAATGTAGGTATTCTAAAATAATGATTCCATTTGTTCCTTTTACTTTAGAAGAGAAGTATATGACTTAGAAAGTAACCTTTATATCTTTAGGCTGATTTACATGACAAACTGCTTAATCACTGAGGATAATGTTTAAGGCAATAATATGAGGGGCCAGCAGTTGGCGTGGTGGTTAAAGCATTGGACTCTCATATGGCCAACCATGGTTGAGTCCTAAATCTGGTGACTTGCTTTCTCACTTTCCCTCTCTCTTTATCTCTCTCTAGGGAACACATGTTCCCTAGAGCAAATTAAATAATAATAAGTAAAATTAAGTAAATAATTCTTTTTTTTAAAGAAAGAAAATATGGAAGAGACTAGAGAAGCTCTGTGTTTACATGAATGTGATTTCTAAGGGGTAGGAATAGTTTAGAAACAACACATAGCAGGAACTCTTTTGGCCTTTTTTTTTTTTGAGTATTTTATCTGTAGGTCTGTACTATTAACATAAATTATTTTGGATGATAAGGAAGAAAATATGCAGCAGGCAAGGTTGGAGGAAGATAATCGTAAAGAAGCAACTGCACATTTCCAGATTACTTTAAGTGAAATCCAAGCACAACTGAAACAGCATGACATCCACAATGCCAAACTCCGACAGGAGAACATTGAACTTGGGGGAAAGCTGAAGAAACTCATCGACCAGTATGCACTGAGGGAAGAGGTAACTAATTTTGTTTCTTCAGTTGGTTTATTGGGGTTTCCCAGCATGTTGCCATTGTCACTGCTGAAATTAAACATTTTAGAACTTTTGTATATATTCACATTGAAAGTTAAGATACTTGCTTGATAGGGAGTGTGAATCACATGATCAGAAGGACTAATTGGGATCATCTGTTTCCTAGGAATCAGAGGACTTAGATAAATTAAGCAATTTCTAGGAGACATATTTAGCTTTACTTTTCTCCCATACATCTTGGAATAGTGTAATTTTAGCAATTTTTCTTTTATCCAAACTAGTATTAAATGTTTGATCCCCAAATACATCTTATCTCAGACTTCTGTGATTTATTAATCAAAATATATAGTATCATTACACTGTACCTATATATAATACAAAAATAGGGGTGTTACGCTACTTAAGAGAAAAAATAAGAACTCCCAGATAGAAGGCTAAGGCAGAGGGATTATAATAATAGAGAGACCCTGTAATCAAAAGAAAAGATGATTACAGCTCAGTACAGTAAATGAAAAGCAAGGACCTTGGTTTAAGGAGAAGAGTAGAAATAGAATCGAGACTAGGATAGCTCCTGATCAAAACTAAATTTTACAACCCATCATTTCATCATGTTGTTGCCTCCCCTAGTGAAATGTAAAAATTAGCTGGAAGGATTCGTAGTTGTTAAGCCCTGGTTGTTGCTGCTGGTTGTTGTTACAAACTGATTTTGTAAACTGAATAGCAAAACCTGCTTCTTTGTTATACTTTTTTAAAAGATTGTTATTTTATTAGGTTTTTCTGTTTTGTTTTATTTTATTTTGTATTTTGTTGTTTTTGTTTTTGTTTCTGATATAGATCTTTCTATAGGCCATGTGTACTCACCAGAGACAGAAAGCAAGATATCATCCCACAGATTGATAGCCATGTTGCAGTCCCTTCTCCTCTTGGGATTTTGGGCACTCATGCACAAGCACCCAGTGTGAATTTTAATTCACCAGGTCCAGGACTTAAACTGCAGTCCACTATTTGGGAATCCAGCAACATAACCATTATACCATCTGTAGGTTCCAGTACTATTATTATTTTAAATTTTACTATAGGGAATGTGTTCTCACCAGAAAGAGAGAGGAAAAGTGGGAAAGTAAGCCACCAGGTCTGGGACTCAAACTGTGGTCGTCCATGTGGAGGTCCAGTGCTATAACCACCATGCCATCTGCTGACCTTATTTGTTTTAATTGTAGAAATCAAATGCAGTTGACCATGTGTAATCTATTGATAGCTGTGTTAATCTCAGCAGCACCTATTGGTCCTTGTTTCTTCTATTATTAAGTAAACCCAAAATGTTATATTATTTCATGTTATTCAGTTATCACTGTTTGAATGTATATCTTAAAATAATTCTTTTCAAATTGTAACTATAATATCAATTTTATTGTGTGTCAGTGACAGTGAGAGGAAGAAAGCACCCTCAGTTTGGTGTGGTCACACTGTAGCTGCAGTCCCTTCTCCATTTCTGTATTCCTGTTGGGATTTTAGACACACACGCATGTATGCCTGACATGCCTCTTAAATTCTGTGTTCGAACCATGGTTGTAATTATGGAATCCAAATCCCTTAAGTATTAGGCAGCTGAGCTGGCTCTACAATTTTTAATATCCAAGCATTTCACAGGTGTCTCTTTTTCAAATTTCTGTATTTCTCTTCTGTCCCCTACTATTTGAATACTTTTTAATCAGTTGTCAAATAGGACTTATACATTTTGTTGGTTGTTATGTCTCAAGTATTTTTTTTATTTTTTTTAATTTTAAGTTTGCCTTTGGACACCAGTGATTGCCAAAGAATGCAAGGGGAGAGGAAGAGAGGGCAATCACTTTCTAGTGGGGATGACCATGCCGAATCCCTTCTTTCCATTTTCTTCTAAGAATTTTACAGCATGCAAACACACATGCCAGCTTGTTATTCAACTGCTGGATGTGGGACTTAAACCATAGTTGACCATGTGAGAGCCAGCCACTTTAACCTATATTCTCAGAATTTAATATATTAGGTTTTCCTCTCTTTTTCTCTTCATGCTTTGAGTAAATGTTTTGAGACAAATGTAACAGATAATCAGACTTTAACTACAAGTTATCTGTAATTCATTCAAATGTATTCAAACTTTCTTTAGAACTAATAAACAGGATTTTCTTTTTATTAGATTTGTTTCTAAAGTGCTAATTTTCTTAAAAAGATTTGTTAAATTTTAATATTTTTAAAAATGATAGGTAGCCTGACTTACTCTGTAGATACAGAATATTTGAAACATACATATGTTAAATTGTATTGTTTATGTTTCATTAGAGATTATAGAAAATTTGAAAATTATTTTCCTTTTAATGATTTAAGGTGACCCTAGCAAAGTCAGGTTTGATCTTTTTTGAGTCTATGTATGTGGGTTCTTTTTATATTAGGGAACAGTATAGTACTGTAAATGTGATTTCTCTTGTTTGGGTTTTATTGTTGTTAATGTATGCATGCATGCTAAAATTGACAAAGAGAAAGGGAAGCACCACCAACAGGGTCTCATGATACCATGATTATCTTTTCCTAGCCCCTGATTTCCTCAGAATGTTGAGTGCCCAGGTATGCCCTGGTGAGTTTTCAGGTGATCCTTGATTGTCAGTCTGTGCTTGGTCATGTAGCTTCCAGCGTTGCAATTGTAGTAGGATATGGACAATGTCAACATGGACTGTACCACTTAGGATTTTCTTAATAACATTTTCTTTTCTATATTACTTTATTATATGAATACAGTATATTATATATGTACATACAAAATAGGTATTAATTGACTATTTATCAGTAACAGGCTATTAGTAGTTCAGTTTTTGAGGAGTCAGAAGTTATTCATAGATACTAGCTCAGTGATGGCTGATATCTCTAACCCTTTATTGTTCAGGTGTCAAATAATTGAATAATGATCAGATAATTTGTAGTTAAAGCCCGATTATCTGTTACATTTGTCTCAAAACTTTATTGGGTAGTTTTTTTATCATCACCTAGAATTCCTTCCTCTCATATAGGACATTGTAACTAAATTAGCAAGCATGTGAGAAGGGATGATCTACTGATATTATGTATACATAACCACTTAACAATTTAGTTTAGGAATAATAATAGACTTAAGGGTCAGCTCTCTGCTCTCAAGGAGAGTCAACCTCCATCTGCATCCTCCTGTCTAGACTGGGTAACTGAAGCAGGGCAAAATTTCAGCCTAGCCACAGCCCCAGCCCCGCATCTCAGCGCCTTACCTGTTCTCAGCCAAAAAGAGGGACCAGAAAGGTCTAAAATCAGACTTCAAATATCTTAGCATCTTGAGTCTCTCTGGGATCCTCACTCAGCCCTGAACCACCAGCAGAAAAGGAGAAGCTGCTCTTCAGACACCTGAATAGAATATTCCTCATATGGGGACCACATTACTAACCACAGCAGAAGTGAAATTTTGGCACAGAACCAATTCAAAACAAAAGAAATACTAACTTGTTCCAGGTTGCAGAGATAGTCTCCAAAGAATTATCCAAAAATAATTATACCACCAAATGGCTAAAAGTTTCAGAAGATCCTCAAAAAAGAAAGAAACCTATGTCTCCATTAAGAAAACACAGTAATTCTCCTCCATCTCTTGAGAAAATAGAAAGTTATCAAAATGTCAGAGATAAGAAAACACAGTAACTCTCCTCCATCTCTTGAGAAAATAGAAAGTTACCAAAATGTCAGAGATACAATTCAGAACATTCATGATGACAAAACTCTGAGTTGGAACAGAAAAGAGAGCAAACTCAAGGAGGCGAGGAAGTTCTTCCATGATTTGAAAAATGAAATGGAAATCATAAGAAAGAATAAAATGGAGACAGGTTCAAGTGAACTGCCTTGCCAGATGCCAAGCTGCCTGTGACTACAGGGTCTAATGGCCAGAAGCCTGGTTCATCTCTTAGCCCATTGGCCTTTGGTTTGTGTCTTGGGACTTTGAGAGGAACTTGCACTCCTACCCCTCCTCCCCATTCCATCCAGAGACCCATTCAAGCAAATAACCTTGCCAAACGCCAGGCTGCCTGTGGCTGCAGGACATAACATCCTGGACCTTGGCTCATACCCTCTACCTCTGGCCTTTGGACTTCAGGATTGTGTCTTGGGACTTTAACACGAACTTGTGGCCCTCCCCACTTCATCTAATACCAGTTCAAGCAAACCACTTTGCCAGATACCAGGCTGCCTGTGGCTTAGGGCCCAAGGGCTGGGGCCCATGACTCATCCCCTCCCCCACTCACTTTTGAACTCTCCAGACTTCAGTGTTTTGGGTAGCGTGTGATGCACAGATTTTCCTTTGTTCCTGAGGTGAAGCTCAGCAGATCAGTTGGAGGTGTGCCTGTTCTTTAGCAACAAGGAGGACTTTGGATCATTCAGGACTAGTGACAGCAGTACAGGGTGCTTATGAGGCAGAGCAGAAGAGATAGAGCCAATTTTCTACTCCTGCACACCTTTAAGAACCGAGAGAAACCTTGAATAATTTTGAAAGGAACACATAGACACCAGACTAATTGAGGTGTAAGAGAAAAGACAACAAGCTTCAGGAGATGAGGATGTTCTTTTACTATCTGAAAGAAGAAAGAGACAGCATAAAAAAGAATCAAACCAAACTCTTGAGGATGAAGAATGTGATACAGGAAATTAAAACCTCCTTCAGAAGTACTGAAAGACTAGATCACTCATAATATCGAATCTTGAATGTAGAAGACAAAAACCTCTGACTTAGAAAAAAAGTGTCAAAAAGATTAATAAAGCAACAAAGAAAAATAAGGATGATATATGAGAAATACTGGATACCATCAAGCATCCTAACATCCAGATAATTGGTATCCCAGAAGAAAAAAAAAATTAATTAGAAAATTGAGAATTTAGGGACCAGCAGTTAGTGTAATGGCTATGTCATGGACTCCCATGTAGCTGACCGTGGTTTGAGTCCCGGATCTGGTGTCTTAAACTCACACCAGGTGCATGTGCGTGTGTGCCCAAGATCCTGGGAAGAGAATGGAGGAGAAGGGATTGTAGCATGGCCATACCCCATGGGGGATGATTTCTCGCTTTCTATCTTTTTGTCTTTCTCTGTCCTTCAGGCGAGCACTTGCGCCCTATAGCAAAAACCTCTCAAAAAAAATTTTTTTTTTTAAGAATTTATTTCATGAAATCCTGGAAGAAAACTTTTCAGAGAGGGATATTCAAATATCCAGAACCAAGATATACTTAGGATCCCAAATAGAGTCAACCCAAGAAGGTCCTCCCCAAGGCACATCACAGCCAGATTGACCAAAAGACAGACAAAGACAAGATACTAAAATTAGCAAGAGGAAAAGGTGAAGTTACTTACAAAGGACATCAGGACATCTTGGGGGCCAGCAGGTGGTGTGGTGGTTAAGGTGCTGGATACTCCCTTATGGCTAAATGTCATTCAAGTACCAGACCTGATGGCTTGCTTTCTCTCTCTCTCTCTCTTGGTAAATTAACATAAATAAATGAATAAAATTAAATAAATATTTCCAAAAAAAAAAAGTCATCTCATAAGGCTAACATTGGACCTCTTGTTGGAAATGGAAACAATGCAGACAAGGGAAGAATGAGAAATATAGTCAAAGTGTTAAATGAAAAAAATTTCAATCAAGAACACTATACCCGGCAATATTATCCTCCCTATAGGAAAAAAAGATAAAAAACATTCTAGGAAAACAGAATCTGAAAGAATTTATGAACTCCAGACCAGCTCTTCAGAAAGCTCTGAAGTTCAAGAATTCTATACCAGGAAAACTAAAAAGTTAGATGGAGAGTTATAAGAGAATAAAAACACAACCAAGAATGTGGGTCATTAATGGTAGGATCAAGTCTGAAATACCAACAATTACATTGAATGTTAATAGATTAAATTCTCCAATTAAGAGGCACACATTGGCTGAATGGATTTGAAAAAAAAAGAAACCCTCTATCTGTTGTCTGTAAGAAACACACTTTATAGATAAAGACAAAGATAGACTAAAAGTAAAGAACTGGAAAAATATATTCCGTGCAAATGGAAATCAAAAAAGAACTGGAGTTGCAATACTTATTTCAGACAAAATAGACTTCAATACAAAGAATGTAAGATGAGACAGAGAAGGGCATTATATAATAGTAAACGGGTTAGTTTAGCAAGAAGACTGCTGGAGCTAAAAGGAGACATCGATTGCAACACTATAATTGCTGGAAATCTCAAAACCTCATTACCTCCTGAAGACAGATTTTATAGATAAAAAAGAGAGATACAGGACCTGAACAATACTATAAATCAAATGTATTGACAGACATCTATAGACTTTTCCACCCTAAGACCAAAATATTAACATTTTTGTCATCCCAGCATGGAACCTTTTCAAAAATGGACCATAAAATAGGACACAGATCAAGCCTTTACAGATTCAGAGGCATAGAAACTATATACAGCATCTTCAATGACCATGAGGCAGTAAGTCAATATTAATTTCAAGAAACACTGTTGAAAATACATAAACACATGAAAACTAAACAACCTACTTCTGAATGACTTCTTCACTTTTGAAGAAACTATGTCTGAAATAAAAAACATTTACGGAGATAAATGATAATGGGTACACGAGATTCCATAAACACTGGACACAACAAAAATATTCACATGAAGGAAATTCATAGAAATTAGTACCCATAAGAAAAAGATGGAAAGGTGGCAGATAGACAGGCTTACAACATGATTGGGAATTAGAAAAACAGCAACAATAACAAAAAACACCAGGTGAAAGAAATCATAAATATTTGAGCAGAAATAAATGAAATAGGAAATAAATGAAGTATAAAGAAAATAAGTGAATGCAAAAGCTGGTTCTTTGAAGTACCAGCAGATATTTAATGGCTACATCTCTGGACTCCCAAGTAGT